GAATATCGCTCCATGAATTTTGGTGATTTTGAGGGGTAAGAGGTCATTGTACAGCAATTTGTCTTGGTTTCCACTCTCTTTTCTGGTCAGCTGCCAGCCAAATAAATGGGTCCAGCAGCACCATATACTAACTGGCTTTTGGAGCCAAAAGCCTTTGCCCAACACTATACAGATGTGCAGGCAGAATGACAGCCACCGCAGGCAGGAGTGGTAGGATCACGCAGGTTAGGAGGAGAGTTTTTGGAGCCACAGTGCCTGAGCTGATTTCCAGGTCTACGCTAGCTGTGTGTCTTTGGGCAAGTTACAAAACCTCTCTGTACATCGATTTCCTTGGTGCCTAATTCATAGGGTTTTGTGAGGAATAAATGCCTGAGATAATGTACATAAAGGATTTAATTTACCAGAAAGGTGTGATCCCTAATCTCAAAGTGTTTATAATTTCATGGCCCCAGGATTCTCAGAGATATATCGTTACTATGGATTCTGTAGCTTCTGCTGAATATATTTTTTCTAGACCTGCCTTGGGTTATAAAGAATGAAGTGTGCATAGACTGTTCTTTTTTTTTTCCTTTAAGTAAATGTTTAAAATTTAAATTCATGGAGTCTAGACAATATCAAGGCTGGAAAAAGGCTATTGGTATTCAGAGGATGGGCTTTTCTTCAGCTGTCAGAAATTTAAAAAATTCTCTTTGCGGGTAATTGGGACCCCTTAATTAAAGAAAGCATCACCAGGCTTAGCAGTATCCGTGGTGAGCTCTGAATGAGTTTGAGACCATTATGGCTGTGTACAGAGCTGAAAATTCTAGAGGAGGAGCTTCTTTTGCCCTTTTAGTTAAATATAAAGCAAATTTTGTTGTATGTGAAGAATCTTCAACTGAAGGCTCAGCTGAGAAAGCATCCTGGAAACTCTAGGAATGGGACTTAGTTGTCTCAAGGTTTGGCATAGAAATAAAATATAATAATATCTGGAGCACACTCAGATGAATGAAGGAATACAGCAGCCAAAAAATAGACAAGCCCCTAGCATCCCTCTCTAAAACCAGACCCGGCAAAGCAGTAGTTTTAGCTTAGCAAAGCAGAGCACTTTCTGCACTGCCTCTTCCTAGAAAGGTTTTCTGTGGTTTCCTGGATTTCCTGTCACCTCTCTGGCGTTCTTCAGTCTGCTTGTTGCTTCCTAATCAACCCTGTCTAGACTGGGATGGTGCCCCAGACTGTATCCTTTTATCTTCTCAAACTACATTTCCTCCCTTGGTGATCTCTCCGGTTTCATGGCTTAGGTATCATTTGTATGCTGAAGATTCCTGACTGTATACCTCCAGCATGGACATCCACCTTGAACAGAAGACTCATTGAGCCAACTGCCCACTTAGCATTTCCATTGAATATCTAATAGGCACCTCAGACTTAATCTGTCGAAAATTACATCCCCATCTTCCTCATCTGCACTTGCTCCCTCTGCAGTCTTCTCCATCTCAGTGAATAACCATTTCATCTTGCCACTGGCTCAGCTCAAAACCTTAACTCCTGCCTGTCACTCCACCTCCATTCCCTCAGCACATCCTGCTGCTTGCAGAGCATATCCAGAAGCCAACCACTTCTCCCCAGCTCGACTGCTACCACTCTGTCTCACGCTGCCATCATCTCTTGCCTGGAGTATTGCAACAGCTTCCCCTGTTGTTTCCCTTCTGTCCTTGACCACTTACAGTCTAATCTCAGCACAGTTGCCAGGTGATACTTTCAAAACGGTGTCAGATCATTTCACTCCTCTGTGCAAAACCCTCCCTGGCTTCTCATTGCACTCAGAAGAAAAGCCAGTCTCCAAACAGTGGCTTACAAGGCCCTGCACGAGCTGGCCTCCTGTTGCCACTCTGAGGTCTCCTGCTAATCTCACCTTTGCTCCGTTCTAGCCTATTTGACAATTTTGGCGAATTTGCTAACTTGGGGCAACACCTGAGGCAAGCTCCCCCTGTAGGGCGTTTGCACTTACTACAGCCCCTGCCTGTAATGCTCTTCTCCAGATAGTCACATGGCTTAGTCCCTCATTTGCTTTAGGTCTTTGCTTAAATGTCATCTTTTCAGTGAAACCTGCACTGAAACCCTCTCTGACCACCTGTTTTAAAATTGTAACCCCCTCCCCTGCTACTCCGTCTTCTTTCCCTGGTTTATTTTTCTCCACAGCACCTACCACTGTTGGACAGACATTTAACTTATTTGTTTCTTCTCTCTTTCCTACCCCATACTAGAATGTAAGCTCCATGACAGCAGAGGATTTTGCTGGTTTTATTCACTGTTGTATCTCAGCACCCAGAATACTGAATACTTGACTCAAACAGGCACTCCATAAACATTTGTTGCATAGTAAATGGACTCCCAGGCTATCTAAAGCTTGACTTTTCTTTCAATTTCATGCTACTATTATTCTTAGTTATTAAAATTCACTCAAAAGTAAATATTATTTATTTTAGAATGAAACTTTGCTACTTGTTACCCAAAGTGAAGTCTACTCTGAAGATCCCTGCAGATAAGCTTCTACTTCAGCAGTTAGAAATGTGTGTGAGAAAACTCCTATGTCAAGAAAAAGATAAAGATGTACTGGCCATTGTAAAAAGAGTAAGTATCACTCTTGCCACAGTATTTGCATTTCTTACATTTAGATAGTGAATAGCTTCACTATTTTAGCTTGGTAGAATAGCAAAATGTTAAAATACTTGTGTTGTTGCTAGAATAGTAAGAATTAGTGTCTGATTTGGTTGATGTGTGCTACAGCTGGATGTGCAAGTTCCTTCTAAAGGGCACTTAGACATTACACTTTTATTACTAATAACAAAGGTTCTATGAGAGAGTGCTTGGCACATTTTAACTAATCAATAAATACTGTTCAACTAACAGTGAATACTTCGTTCACCATACTTTATTTATAAGTGATTATAGTCCAGGAAAAGTGTGTTGGTAAGATTGGGAAAGTCACAGTTGACAGACCCTTGGCCCTGGGAGGGCCAGAAGGGCCTTCAGTGATCTGTTTGACTTGGCAGAAGCTCTAGGCCTAGAAAAACTAAGTGTCTGCTTGAGATCACGTGAGTGAGTGGCAGAGCCAGGACTGGAATAGAGATCTCACCCCTGAATGCGTTCCTTTTTCAATAACGTAACATTGTATCTTGTGGGTTTTTGTTTTGTTTTATTTTAGCATGTGATCTTATTATATGGATTGTTGGGAATGTTGGAAAACTAACACAGTAAATATTTGGGTTAGTGAAGCCAAATCGTAAAATACTTTGTAGTCTTCAAAAACTTTTTGCTGAATATATGTATAACTAATATTTTTGTAATATTAAGTCAAATTAAAGTGATCACTTTTATGAATCTGAATATGAACTTCAGGACACATTGTTTTTAAGCATTTATTTGTAGTGAGGGAAATTAATTTATTAATGTCTTAAATAACTTAGCATCCATGGGGAGGAAAAAAAAGAGAATCTTTTGATTTTTTCTTTTTTTTTGAGATCTTTGCCAGCTGTTGCATGAGGAGCTTTTTAATAAAATGATTTGATAGCTTAGTATTAATTAGTATAATTTTATTTTACTGAAATGTGAATTCCTCTTTCATCAACTGAAATAACCAGAAATACCGAGTGTGGACATATATCTAAATCTAAAAACATATATATGTATGCACATACATACATTTGTTTCTACCAGATATTTCCGCCCTTACCATTTAATTACAGAAGTTTAGGCAAGAGAGTTAACTCTCACAATAATAAACATGAGAGGGTTACTTTCCTGAAAGAATTTGTTAGCTCAAGACATAATACAAGCTAACCCCATAAATATGATGAAGAAAATGATATAATTAAATTAATGGGATTATTAATCTACAGTGGATTATTCTGGAGTACAGCTCCTATCTTGAATACATGTCACATGAGGAAGTTAGTCTGTCCCATGAAAATTCTATGGTATAATGTTTATTAAACTGAGGTATTGGTACGGGAACCTCTGAGGAAGCTCTACAAAGCTTTGGGATAAAAATGGAATAGTTTACTCTGGTTGATTTTTTAAGACAAGAAGTAATTTTATTTAAAAAGGATATTTCATGGCATAAATTGTAGAAATTTCAGCATAAAAATAAAGCTTCAATTCAATATTGTGTTTGCAGTGGATAGCTTTGGACGTGTGAATACGTGACTGTTCTTTATTTTGGCTGTCCGAGTTACTCCTGTGGAGAAGGACTGTCCTCTGTCAGAAACAGAACATGGATTGGATGGACCAGTGTTTGACTGAAATAATTTGTTTCAGACTCATGTATTCTGAAAGACAAGTAATAAATTGAGGAATACTTTCAGAGCCAAGTCTTTTCTATTGAGAATATCATAATGATCAAAAGTTTCTGTGAAAAGGAACTAAGGATTTTGAGGCAAATGATAGCATGCTTCATATATATTTAGCTAAAAGATTTTTTAAAGATTAAAAAATTATAGTGTATTTCTGAAAATTCAGAAAAGAGTAGCACTGGGAGTTATTAGAAATTAGTTAAATTACATGTGTTCACGGTTTAAAATATTCCTCTAGACTTGCTCTTCTCAAGGTTAAAAACTTTTAAAACTTTAAATAGATCCTGGTATTACTATATAAAGGTTGATTAAAAATACAGTGGGAAGAACTTGCGAGGTTTTCCGGTTTAGCCTTCCCCATAGTGCAGAAGTCTCCTCATTGAACTCCCACTGGAAAATAGTCTTTTTGAGAAGTGATTGGTTTATTTAATTTAATTGCTGTTGAATAATTTAAAAAACTTTCTTCGTAGACTGTGTTAGAGTTGGACAGAATGGAAATGTCTATGGATGCTGTAAGTACACTCTCTTTACCTTATGTTGAAGGGAATATTTAAAAATTGGCAGAAACTCACCATTAATGTTTCACAATGTCATTTTAAACTTTAAACTTAGTTTCAGAAAAAGTTTTATGAAAAAGATTTGTTGGATCAAGAGAAAGAAAGAGAAGAACTGCTTCTTTTGGAAATGGTATGTTTTCACCTGCACACTCACATACTCTCTTCTGACCAATATTAACTGTGCTTTGTTGTTAAACTTAATAAATGATTTCTTTCAATTTCACACTACTTTTTTCCTTCAAAATGACTAAAGAAGAATCCTGATCTTTTGAAATCTGTTCTTTTGTGAACTGGAAGGAAAAGTACATTTGAGAGCCT